ATGCTAATGGCAGTCAATACACACATCAACGCCTTCCATTAAAGGAAGTGGATGTTGTAATTGCCAAGATTATTTTCCTGGACTTTTAAATATGTTTTCATTAAGTGCTTTACTACTCGGAAATGCCACTGATAAGTGATCAATCTGATTTTTTTCCTGATTAAATTTACGATATTTTTTTTAATGTAAACGGTTCCGAAATTACTGTGCGATTTTCATGGAATTTAGGGAGCAAAAGGGGCAATGGATTGAAATGTTCTGAAATGTAATTTGGAAAAAATGGTATCTCATGGAATATTTTGTACTTTTTTTCTTGAAAAACAAGACCATGTTTGTAAGAAAGCTAAATCTTTAAAACATGGAACGTTTAAATCGAACATTGTCAGCCAAATTCAGGTGTACATGTTTAAACTTCTCGCCCACTTAGCTCAAAATGTGCCTGTTATTGAAACTGTTATCAATTTCCAGGCAAAATCCAGCAGAACAACAACAATCAACCGGCTCAGTGTGGATGGAAAAGCGAATTTTATCAGGCAAAGGCCTCAATAGTATAAATTAATACCTCTCAGCTTTGAGCACATTGAAGCAGACGCACACATCGAATTCGGAATCAGCGACGCGACTACTCTTTGTGTCTTTTTGCATTGTGTTGCATTTAAATCGAATTCATAAGCTTTAGTTGGGCTGTGCGCTATTTGAAAGAAGCTGGGGCTGCATTGTTCGCATGCAGTTTTGTCAGTTTTGATAGTGGAGAGTTTTGCAGCGAGCACAAACAACTCCCGATAAAAGTCTCAGAGCTGAATGTTTCAGTTGCTGGCACAGGCAGAGCTTAGCTTTGATCCCAATAATATGGGTGCTTTAAAAGGTTTGCTTCTACAAAACAAAGCTGGCAGGTAGACGAGTATCTAGTGGTTCTTTTCAAGCATACAGCCACTGGGAAGCCTTAGTTTTAGCTGATTTTCCAATATACCCAAGTTGGAAATGATTTCGGATTAAGAGCGCAGTTAAATCTTGAGTTGGAAGCTTCAAAATTGCGAAATTTTAAGTGTTAAGGTCTTTCATAAATGGACCCAATGGCGAGTCTGTGTGCTTTACTTAGGATGTGAGAATGTTTTGAAAGCGTGTTTGCTTATTATTATTAGTGTTAAGTTTTCCACTATTTTGGTTTTCCGTGTTTTAAAGTTGAAGTGTTGCTCACAAATGGGCAAGAAGACTAATTTCTACACGCTCTATTTTGGATGTAATCCTTATCTAAAACCGACTCTGTGCGGTTTAGTGAGCATCAGATTAGAGTCTTTTAATTGGAAGCAAGCTATGCGTAACTCCGATTTACTTCAAATTTTCAGTATTTTAAATATTAAGTATCGCTCACAAATGAACAAGAACGAACTTCGAGATGCTCTATTTTCGACGCAACGATTTTTTTGAAACAGAGTTTGCTTGCTCGGTTTATTTAGCATCAACCCAAAGGCGTTTAAGTAGTGGAAAATTTAGCAGTACTCCAAAGTACAATAATTAAATATAATAAAATAAATTAAATAAACTTACGCAAATAAATACATAATTTTTAAATTTATATCAAGCAGTGAAATTTTAATTTGGGTTTTCCTATCATAAATATCGAAACTGTTCCCCTTTTGGAAAATTAGGATGATTTTCTAAAGCGTTTCTAATACAATGAAAAATTTTTGAATTTATGTATGTATTTTTTTGAATAACAGCTGACATAGTGACAATTTTTTAACGTTGGGCAATACGAAATTTCCTTCTTATTTAGTGATACGTTTCCCTACCACTGTGAAATAGGGACCTTATCTTCGGAGTCCACTCGAAATGATTATTGTGTTGCTGAGCATGTTCAACGGTATTTATGGGGAATCTATAATGTGCGCTCCCGCCTTTTAACTGTAATCGTTTTGTTACGGAGTCGATTCTGAATGAAGATTCGCCAAGAAATAATGCCCTTATCGTCCTAAATTATGTCCTCCTCGTCGAGGTAAAGAATATATTTCTTTTCGGGCATTCGAGGGCGAATCGTCGGAACTGGAATCGAAAATCGGATGCTTTATCAACCGAGACTTAAATAATGTACGACTCCGAAAAAAATCAGTTTAACGGTAATGAATGAAGTGAGGAAGTCAATTCTATCAATTACAATAATCAAAGTCCACAAAAACCTTGAGTAATTGGGAAATCACTTTGCCGGGAAGTTTTATGGCGAGACGGTTAAAAGGAAGGCGTTATAAATACAAACAAGTGAGCCGCAGACAATAATTGCATAAACTGAATAAAACAATCAGTAGAAATTCGCAAACAAAAAGTTTTTGAAGTATTTTTCAGAGTAGGAATGTTGTTGAAGGAAAAAACAACCATGTATGGCCTTGATATCCGGTTGGATATTTAATAAATTTCAACGGGTTTTAGCAGAATCTCGTACTCAGCAGCTGAAACTTTGCTGTAGCGAAAAAATCTGCAAAAGACTGATTGGATAAAGAAGGATTTACGTCTTTGATCTGCCGCGAAGCGTCTGAAACTTCTAACAAGATTTGCTCAATTCGTTTTTCCATCTAAATCAATGAGTATGGGCTGGTGAAATTTCGGAAAGCGGTTTTTTCCATCGTAAAGTCGTTGCGAAAGTGAAAGATCCCAAGGCATAAATTCGATAAAAATTATTTAACCCCATAGGCACTTTTTTGGGAAATCTCATAATCCGGGTTTTATTAAAGCCGCCCCCCAATTTATGCGATTTTCAAATTCTAAAGGAAAAACATGTTAAAATTCCCCGGGTATTAACGCAAAATTATTTAAACTGGATTAGAGCCCAGTCTGCAGCCGTCTCTCGGGCGTTTAAGTTTTTAAACTAAAAGATTATCAGGGAATATTAAGCCCATTTATCAAATCTGCGCCTAAACTAATTATCCTCATTGATAATTTCCAGATTCCTTCCCGAATTTTAACTTGGCTTGCCAAGTTAGTTGCCTCGAGAAAACCGTATTCCTTATTATCTGCTCGGATTAATTTCAGGAATTAGTTTAGTTTTTATCTGCCTCCTTGCCCGCATTGGCAAGGCCCAACTTATTTCGTTTAGAAAGAATTCTAATTAATATTAAAGAGATGCTGCAGATTTACAACCAAGTAGTAGCGACCAGGGCATAAGCGCTACAGTGTTTCAGCAAACTCAAAAAAATATTATTTAATTAAAACTATTTTAATTACTTAAGCGCTAAAATAAATGGAAACATTCTGGCATTTGCGTAGTAATGAATGAAGAAAATCTGCTTACGAAGTGAAATCACACTAGTCAAACCTAGCCTGGTCCAGCCAAACGAAAGGCGGGATTTTTGTAGAGATTTCGCTGCATTTAGTCCAGCGCCAGCGGCGTTTTTGAGTAGTTGAGTTGTATCGGTTGTTTGTCGGATCTTTACGCGACTTCGTAGTTCACCGCTCGTCGAGTTGAACACATAAATGATGAAAACTGGCATTCAATGTTAAATTTAACTAAATTGTAAGAAGAAACTACTTGTGAAATTTGTGAGTTAATTTATTTAAAAATTGATTTTTTTTTGAAATCTTGCTGAACAACTTGAAATATTTACCAGAATTTTATTCAAATATCTGTAAGTTGATTAATGTGTGCGAATCACTATTGACTTCTGCTTGCACCGGCTTTGATTCATTTCACATTTGAGCTCCTACACGAAGTTTTATTATTTGCTCGCAAGAAGAAAGCGTAATGAGCTGTGAACCAACCACACGTAGTTGAACCGAAGCGATTCAGCGTTTAATCAAACACCTCCGTTTTTCGGTGCTTGGGAAAATCACACTTCTCGTAAAATCATAATCCATTTTTGTACCTTTCTTTATTTTTGCAGTCTCCCTTTAGCCAATCACTTCTTTATTGGCCGCTCGAGAGCGCTCATCAAATTTTCCTCTCCGTCTGTCTCGATCTCTTCCGGCTCTGCCTTTGTAAAATGCCGAGACGCTCTATCGGATTAAGCGACACGTTTAATATAAAACTTTTCGATATTTTTGCTGTGTTTTTATCGTTGGGAATTTGTCGCGATTTCAAATTATCGTTCCCGGAACATGAGGCACGTTGCAATAGTCTATTTCAAAGGCTCAAAAATTGCCCTTTTTATATTAAAATATGCTTAGAAGGTTCCAAAGAGGTTAAAAGTTTAGTTGAAAATAATATCCCATTTTTTTTAGCGTTTTTCTATAGTTTCATGTACAAAGGCCGCTTTACATATTTTATGGCCTTTAATTCATAAGATTTCTTTTAAAAATCCCTATCGCAATCTTCATCACATATTATTACGATCAAGTGATAAAATTCGTATTAGCGCAATGCATTAACTTCAACTAGCGACCCTATCTGGCTCCTCCTAGTTCTAAACTTGATAATTTCTCCATTAAAGCGCACTTACCATTTGAAGCAGTATTAAAGCGAATTTTTCTCCTCAAAAATCAACCAAGAATCTCGTTGAATGTTTGAATAATTTGCGGCAGAGCTGCACTTTCCAACCACCACACATTCTGTTGGCATTAATTAAATGGCGCGGCGGTTATCTGCAAGATTCCAATTGCGGACGTAAGACCACAAATATCAATTAAGGCCGTGGGCTCACTCATAACTCACATTTACGGTTTTACTTGCATTCTCAACTGGGCAGGAAACGATCAGTGTGCTAAATAGAGATGCGGCTAGTATGTTTGCAGGAACAAACGGCCTTTCCATTAGCAACTATTTGTTTAATTAATGCCCTTCTATCGGTTGAATTTTTGCCATGTTAACATGCCTGCGAATTGTGGCAGAGAACAATCAAGTTGCCATATTCCTGCGTACGCTTAAATCAATTTTTCCCAAAATAGGAAAAATTCGGTACGAGTCAAAGCAGAAAATATATTCGCTGTTGCAACGAAAATAACATCGTCTGTCCAATTTCGCCCAACTCTATTTAGAGCTTATTTTGTCCATTTGCCAGTTTGTTTTGTTCCAGATTCAGATTTTCGGATTCAACTCGCAGCTTTACACGAATTTCTCCGAGGCCCTGCATAAGGCTCAAGGGATTGTCGTTGTCTCGCTGCTGTTACAGGTAAATGCCATTTTATTCACCTAATTGTTTTTCTCAATGTTGCACGACAAATCGCCCTAAACTATCGATTTATGACTCGCCGCAAACGGCAAAACCTATTTATTCGTAGCGAGTTGGAAACCTATACACGAATAGTTGTAATAACTTTCGAAAGGTGCATGTGGCCCGGAAATCGCCGTAATTAAAACGGAAAGCAATTAAGGACTTTTCATCCATTCAACCAAAGTGATGCATTATTAATAGGTTTCAATAGAATTTCCATAATGCAGCTAATGTTTGACGCTCGATACTTTTGGCGATTAGAAGAAAAAGAACCATGATGAAGCTTTATAGCTTTGACGCAATAGATAATAATTCAGAGTTTCCTAATTGTTGAACTTAACAGTTGAACTCCCTAGGTACTGATACAAATATTTACATGCCAACGCGTTCTCTCATTCAAGTTTTGTCACAAAACCCCACAATTTGGTACAGTTCACTTTACGACATCGGAATRATTTGTTYTGATATCGCTACAAGTTTTCTAGTGCGAATWGTTGACAAAAGGGTAGATACTGAGACATACTTTAACACTGCCCTTTAAATCTTCCAGAGCAACTATCTTTGAAAAWTAAATTGAAATTTATTTTTAAACGGTTTYTTCACACACTTCCAGTAAGCTAAATGGCTGTTGATTTCCGCCGGCAACGACGACACCGACCAGAAAAAAGACGAATTCTAAATGAAATAATTTTGGTTGATCCTTTCACTTGAATCGTAAGTGAAGTCATTGCAGCAAGAAATCATCAGTTTAAGCAGCAGATTTTTCATCCAAATGAAGATGCGCTCATTGACCTTGGTGTTGGAAGCGAGTTGCGTCTAAAAAATACATTCTACATAATCCACAATACAAATGAACTCTTCCGATCAACAGAGACAACGTAGCTAAAAGAAGGTACAATCTCCGAGAAAGATCAAATGAGTTTCGATTGGGAATGATTCAAGAAAATAGCTTTTTCAGGAGCAACTAACTGAACATTGAGAAACATCAAAATACATGAAGATGCTGATCAAGGAAAACAACGAGAAAACAAACCCAAACAAATGTCTAGGAAGCTGTTAAAGAGGTTCTAGTGAAAAAAATACAGTGGATCAAAACGTTAATTTTACGATAAAGAAAACGAGCATACAGTAAGGAAATAAAAATGATAGAGACCTATCGGATTCCAATAAAAGGAGTAAAACGGGAAAGTCTCCTTGGATATACAACATTCCCTCTACATTGCCCAGAAAAATGTATGAGAAATGTTAGGAAGCTGGAATATGAATTAATCGCATCCTTCCATCGACGGATCCAAGTATTAAGAAAGCGGAAGAAAAATGTACAAGTTTGATGGAAAGGCTCATTTGCAGTACGAAGACTATACCTTCTAAGGCTTCCAAAAGAAATGAAGCGGAATGTAAATACGAGGGAAATGCTGGATCTAAAAACATGCAAATATCTTCCATAGTTCCAGGTGAATCTTCGCTGAATGTAACTATGGAAGAAAACTGTACGCATAAATTCACAAGAGTCAAGCTACTTCAGACAGTCCTAAAAGTAATAAACAGAAGAGGAAATGTACCAGATGGTATTCCGAATGAACTAATTAATTTTAAAGGACACTTTATGCACAAACTAGGAAAAAAACCCACAGTCGGGAAGGAAAGCATTTCAGTTCAATTAGTCCAAAGGGATACTAAAATGGAAGTGAAAACTAACCTAGGAGGGTAACACTGATTTTTACGCTAAAACTGAAGACAATTGATCTGACAAAAGAAATTCCCAACAGACTAACAATTGATGCAGTAAAAAGATTAAGGCAAATAGGAGAAAAAGGGCAAAGTGCTTGCGAGTTCTTTGTAGATCTGATGCACGCATTGGATAGAGTTCGAACAGAGAAAACAGGATCTAATTATCCAGGCTTATCCATTTTATGCTTGGGAAAGTAAAGTAAAAAAAAAACAAAAAATATTCAGATGGAGGCGAAAATTTTAATTCAATATAAAGATTAAACCTTGCCATTATACGTGAAAAACAATATAATTTAAATGTCCTCCACGGGACCTCCCACAGGCCACAATACTTTTGAGGTAATTTTTAATGAAATTTCGGCACATTAGCGGTAATATTTCGGGCATAACTTCACGGATATTGGCTTTCAGTTGCGCAAGAGATCTGGTCTAACGTGTTATCTAACGGTGTTAATCTAACGGTGTTAAGTCGCAAGATTTTACGGGTCAATTGACATCACTCAAACACCTTATGCGCCTGAGGATTTTGAGAGCCCCATATACAGCTGTTCTGTTTATTCACGTAACCACCGAGCAAAAAATGAGCCTCATCGCTGAAGAAAATTCGGTTCCAAAAATTCTATCAACGGCTTGTGGCTCAATCACCCAATTTGCGTATGTTCTGCGTTGCCCATGGTCTTGAGGCATAAGTTATTGAGGCAGTTGGACTTTGTACGGATGGAGCTTCAAATCCAATTGCAAAATTCACCACAATGAGCCGTAAGACAAGCCCAAATGTTGAGCTCCTCCACACTTTGAGCAACAACAGCGATATTTTCAGCTGAACGAATGTTGTCTCATCACATTTTTCCACTGTGCTCGAAATTATTTGCTCTTGTGGTCGATTATGTCGACCGTAATCTGCTCGTAAAGCCCTAAACGGTGATACAGCAGAAGATTTATAGCAACGTTTTTATGCGTTCTTCGGCAGTTAAACGATCCATGTTCCAAAATGGCAAACCTTCAACTAAAACGAAAACGCTTCGGATAACGTTTACCTTTCACAGATATCAAATAGCAAGGTTTTACTTTCCCAACCTCGAATTGGATAACCCGTTGCAAAAGGGAGAATTTGAAGAAGAACAACATGATCCTGAGTTCATATCCTGCAGCTACAGGCTCTAGTATAGTGATCAAGAAGAGTAGCTGCGAAAACTATCGCTCTGAATGCCTGTACTGGCACTTCGTACAAAAAAATATATTTTGAAACGCCCAAAAGTGTACGTTCAACTAACCGAAAAAAAATTCAACTTATGTCCAATATTTTTATATGCCGATGCATCACAATCCTGGCCCTGCGTGACCCCAAAACTGGGAATTCTGCATGGTTCCAGAAAAGACGTTTTTTCACAAACGGCCAATTTCTCTTCAATAATTTTTTTTAGTACAATTTTTTTGTGGATATACGTAGTACATTCTTCTTGGACAAAGAAGTCTACTCCCCGTTTGAGCATTTGGGACTAATTTATAATACTGTTTTATAATAGTTTTCCTTATTTGGTTTTCCTAGAACCTTCATTCTCTATCAGTTTTGGGCACTCATTGCTTTCTCGTACATTCTGCCTAAGAAGATCAACATGCCAATTATATGAATTAAGTGCTTCTGCATTTTGGAGGAAACATTTTTTTGCAAACCAACTAGCGTAAACGCTCCCCACCCAAAGTCGCCTGGAACAACTGCCACAATATTTAAAAGATTGACAAAAACATAAAATTTCCATTTTTGTGAAACGCAATAAGGTGAATGAAAACTTGCGTGTTTGTGTAATAGGTCGCTAGGGTAAGGCATTAACTTATGTATACAATAATTTCACCACATTAGCTTAATTGCCTCATAGCAGACGGACGTAATATAGCTAAGTTGTAATAATGTATTCTGGTCGTCTTTTAAAAAGTATCTTGTTGTCGTGGACGTGTTAAAGTCACCCCACCTTGCAGCTTTAATTAACGAACATGCATTTAAGGTCTGGCAAAGATTCTATTGCAAACCAGATTTTTTTAGGTTCATTATTACAACGCAGTTCCACTGAACTTTGAACTTTCATCCAATCATTTTGGGGCTGGTTTGGATCCATCGTGTGCATTTTTGTTAGTACCTTAATTCCATCAGAGTAATTAATCCCTCTAATCAAGGGTCAAACAAATCACCAAAATAAAAACGTTCCACAACACATCAATCCGGACTAATCAGGTCCACCACTCGCTTGTTTGCAACTAATTCGGAAAATTGAAAAATGTCACGTATTTAAAACATTGGCGCGTCGAATTTTGTTTTCATCAAAACTCTTCGGTTTATTTGTGCATCTCTATCAAAATCGGGCTTTAGTTTTCGAATGAAAATTCCATTTAATCCGTGCCAATCAGAATTTTTAATATTGAAACATATTGTTGCTGTTCGCGGAGCGAAGGAAATGATATTGGCATTTTTCAAGAGCCGCAAGCCAGTTGAAACTATTATGATAAATTGAAAATGAGTCAACAATATTGCGCAAGAAAAAGCATCGGAAGTGGATGTTAAACTGCAAAGTTTGTTTTGGGAGTGGCAACGTACCATTTTTCAAGTGGCGATATTTCTCATTACTGCCGCCGTCAAATAACCATTAATTTCACGACGAAGAGGCAAAACAGCAACTTCTTGACTTTAACTTATAATCAGGCAGTTTCCCGGAATGTTTTACAATTACTCATTTAGTAAATCCGAGGATTTTGGTGCTTAAGATATGAGCCAGTTGTAATTGTTGCCAATTGTTTCAAAAACAATTAAACGGTGTTTTTCTGCTTTAGGAATTGTCCAACCAGCCTATCAACTTCTGCTAAACTCTCGGTTTATAATCGATTGAGTTCGGGTTAGAGCGAAAAGCTCCTCCAAACATATAGATCTGCAAACCCTTTCAGGGAATTAGAGACATTTGTTTTAAAACTTTTTCGTATTTCGAAAACAGGCATGTGTCTTTGCGTTGAACAGATTTATTAATGTGCTTGCAATTGAATGGGGTTTTAAGGAACATTTCGAGACTTTTCACTACATTCTAAATAGAGTTTTCGTTTCGATGAGGTTGAGTTTATCAATCGAGATTTTTTTTAATTAACAAAGTATTCGGATGTTGAGGCTTAAAAGGCGATGAGGTCATCTACCACGTATGCAATAAAGTTTGGAATCGGGCGGAATTGTGAAAATATTGGACTAAGTCTATACTAGTATAGAGGGTAAGTCAGTTTATAATGCCAGGGTATTAACGGTCAATAGAAAATCCAATTTGAAGACGAAAATGTTATGTAAATTTATTTTTACTTTTTTAAATAATTTACTTAAGTTTTAAGATACTGTTGTAAAATGAAAAAGTATAAGATACTGTTGTAATATTAACTGTAAGACTTTTACCCGCTCTAATTGTTCTGGAACAAATCTGAACTCCAGTTATATTTTTTATGCTTGAGGAACTGACAACAGGCTGGTCGACACTTTATTTCTTTGTTCAAGTGACTACATTTGCACATTGAAAACAACTATCCTGCAATCATATAGTTAGAGCAGCTGGAGGCAACCCTGCATGAAGCTTAAAAAAATGTCGCTAATTTAGCTCCTTATCTTTAGGAAGGATCATGGCTAAGACCGTCTAGGAACGATCTTTTCTCACTTTGAGTCTAACTTTGAAACATTTGTGCACAAATTAGTCCTCAAGTTCGCTAAATTACCAGAGATCTTGCTTCAGGCATCCCCAAGAGGSCCTTGATGCATAAGAACCTTCCTAAAATGTTAGCTTTACTTTCAAAGGTCGCTGTAAACTGACTAAGTTCTTTAAATGCGTCGTTTATTTTCTAARTAAGAATTGGACTTGAAACTAAAAAATCTTACTCTTGAGCCCTAGAAACGCCTGGATGCGAATATTTTACACTTCCACAGGAAATCTGATAGTTTAAACACACCCAGATTGGATTTGTTTAACAATATTCTTCCAATTATCAAAATAGGGGTSAAAAAATCGTACCAATGTGAAGAAACATCAAAGCACCTTCTTTCCAGGCTGTGCAGAATTGGACTRGTCAGAAGSTTGATGTGATCAAAAACTTATCTAAGTTAAGTCAACTTAACCGAAATATTCCAAAATAGGGTTTTACGAATGAATCCAAATAAACAGAGGCCCATCAAGGGCCCCCCAAACCGCCTCGTTTAATCATTGTAATCGTTCCAGTAAATGTAAAGAAAAATCCGAAACCGAAAATTAACTTGTAAATTAACCGAATCTTGTCGGTAACAAGAGACTCGTTACACCTAAGTGACTGTCTTCAAGCAAAAGAGCCAATCTCCCACTTCTTATGCAAATTGTACGGTAGTTTGGAGTCTCATCATGCAAATTTTTCTCTTGTAGCTACATCGGTTATAATTGGAATTTTATTTCGAGATTAAGGGACCGCTTAAGTTCGAACCGAACTTGGCGCAGTTTGATTCTATCACTTGTTATTCCAAAAGATTTTCGAGATAGTTCGCATTTGAGTGCAAAAACTTTTATTAATTAGGCGAGGGTGCGATGGGGTTAAACTAATTAAAACCTACTTAACTAGCGAGTGCAGCCAATGGGAAAATTTAACTTGAAAACTTTGCCTACACATTTTGCGGAACAAAAACTTACCTGCAACTGTTTGATTTTCTTTCGCAGCTGGGCGATCTCTCCAATCCGGAGTTAAGAATACTCACGGATCAGCTGGAGAGAATTCGACACGGAGGTAATTAGCATGCAGGCAAACTTGGCAAACATTGCGAGAGTTGTTGCTTTCCAGGTGATGAAGTGGAAGTCAAAAGGCTATCGGTGCGAGGGCTTTTGCCGGATACTGATTACTACATGACCTATGATGGATCAACGACGATGCCTGGTTGTCATGAAACGGTCACCTGGCTCATCCTAAATAAACCAATTTACATCACAAAACAACAGGTGAGTGCTAAATTTGTATATGTGTGAAAAGGGGCCTTCAAGCTATCAAGCTCAGGTTCCTTGCATTTTTGTTGAGCCAACTGGAATACTTTCAGCTTCTTTAGAGTCCAGTGTAGTCGTCTGTAGCTGTGAACATTTGAAATAGCTACTTACTTTAGTTGCCAAAGTGAATTTCCAAAAGAGCGATTGCAACTGAGTTGATTTTTTTGGTGTTAAACTATAAGAACACAACTGCGTTAAACCGTCATAACTTTAGAGTTTAAAATTGCTTTCGAGCCACCGGCGACATCGTCTGTTAATGAGACACCTGGTAGATTGGTGTCGGCCTAATTAATTCCCGAGCAAATGGATAAAGTATGAAAGTAAAACCTCCACAACTAATATTAATCGGCATACAGAAGGTACACACCTCCTAATTAGATTAGAGTTTGTCAACAGAGTAAAGGAGAAAATATAATATACTTAGGGCGTAAGCTTAAGCAATTTGTTAAAGTGCAAAGCCAAAGAAACGTGAGATTAGGATCACGAGCCCGTAAATTACCATTATTAATGTCTCCACGGCTATTCGCAATATAATTAATTTAGAAGTTTTAATTTTCAGCCTGAGAAGGCGACGCATTATTCATTGCCACCTTTGGTTAGCCTTAATGGCCGCTTTTCGGGGTCTTCCTGTTGCTTTCGCTAAGACGCAGGATTTTCAACAAAAAAAAGGCGGGTCTCAAGCACAAACAATGCAATCAACTAGTAAATTTATCAGTAGGCTGAGCGGCAAAAGCTGAAATGGCAGCAAATCTGTTTTCCATTATCTCCCATCAAAAATACGAATGGATTAATGCTGAATTGAATAATTCACTTATTGATCGGATTAAATAGAAATTCCGACTAAATTATATTGGAAATATGATTGCTGTTAGTTTCATGAATTAGCTCAAAGCTAAAATTATTAAATGTTCAGAAGAGTGCAAGAAGTGCAGAAGACGGAAGCTAAATTCAACCACAGAGCTTGAAAGCCCTAAAAACTCAAGAGTTTTAATAAATTCTGTTGGTTTGCTAAAGAGTCTAGGACTTAAATTTTGACTTCAGACTAAACAAAATTGTGCAGATCGATGTCAGTAATTCTATTTTGAACCATTTGTAATTATTGCCATTAAGATATTGCATTTAAGCCGATTTAAAATCGAAATGTTACTAATGAGTTGGTAAGATCCTTAGAGAAAGTTTAAACTACTGAGTATAATTCACATCAATCGACAAAGATTAATCAACCTCCATCAGCCACTAACAGCACACCGATTACATTCAGTTGGTGATAACAAATAGGAAGTATCAATTAACATTTGAAACTGGGGCCTGAATTATTCAAAATGCTATTGGTTGAATTGATGAGCTCGGCAAACGGAGCCGATTTATTATTTACCAATAACAGGAGTCTCTAATTTCCCGAAGATTGCTTTGAGTATCCATAGTATCGTACCTGACTTTAATTAAATTAGATTCAAAGCCAATGTATTAGTTTGTGTGAAAGGGCAATGTTCTTTCTGTTTCTGTTGCTTCCTTGGAAAACTTCTCGTTATTACTCGATGCTTTATTAACAGGGATTTTTATGACTTCAATTCAGCTGCAAGCAATAAGTTTTCACTAATTGAACGGCAATACAGAAAGCATTTAAGGGGGCAAAATTTATTTTTATGGAAGATGTCTAAATGGCGAGACTCAATTAGGCTGTGGAATTAAAAAAAACTCACAAAATGTTTGGGTTCGGCATTATTGATGAAAATATTTAGATCTTAAAACATGGAATTTGAAAATAAATGCGAGCATGTATAATATCAGACCTAACTTCTATTGGGAAAACTTTCCGGTGTTTAACATAATAAAATTTCGTTAAAGCATCTTCAAGTATCTGATTAAATTCCGTTTTTTTTGTCTATATCTATATCGGTTGGGTTTTTGAATCCAGTAGGTTCTTCTTGTATATTTATGATTTTATAATTTTGGTAGTTAAAACATTTAACGCTTCATTATCGACCTCTCACTCTGTCGACTTTGCTGTCGCTTCTATTTCTTTCCCTCCTTTGGAAATTTTTAGTTGCGCGACAAATTTTCATCTGCTTTCCATTCTTTCCCATTTAAATTTCATGCATATTTAGAGGCTGAGATCTTATGCAAATGGATTTTGGGAGTTTTCCACGATTATGGTACATAACTTTCTTTAAGTTTTCCACACCTTTCTCAACAGTTCTCTTCAGCTTCACCCGTGTGAATTCAAAGTGCTTTTCTTGGATCTTCGCTATTTGAGTTTGCAAAACGTTTTTCGCTTCTTCCTCGTCCTGTGCAGATTTCACAATCTGTATTTCCTTTCTTTGGAGCTTTTCTGTTGCGCGACATATAAACTTCTGCTGGTCATTCCTTCTCTTTCAACTTTCATGCATTTTTGAGGCTGAATTTGAATACAATTGGATTGTGGTCGCTGTAGATGTTAACATCAGGAAAACCTTTATTCAGATTTGACCTATTTGTTGATTTTCCAGTTTTCTCTGGCATTTCCACATCTTTGCCTAATGGTTCTCCTGAACTTCTGGGATTCTGTTCAGTTTGTAATACATTTTCGCTTTTATTTTCATCCTATATTCTCTATTCCTGATTTCACTTAACTTTTGTAAAATCGATGTCTTCTTCTTGCATCTTTGTCATTTTAGATAATAAAGCTTTCAGCGCTTCTTCATCGTCTTCTCCGTGTGCCGATTTTTCTATTGCTTTTTTTCTCAGTTGCTCATTTTATAATCTCCTGTTTGTCATCCTTTCTTTTTGAAGTTGCGGGCATCTCTTGAGCATAAAGTCTGCAACAAATGGATCAGGATCACTATAGATGTTAATTTCATTGCAGATTTTGCACCTTTGATGTCTTCTTCTTCATTCTTGATTTTAGGCGAATCGCCTGTTCAATTATGGTTCACTTGCGTGAAGCTATCGCTCCATCGTTACTTGGGGCGCCCAACGTCTCTTCGTCCCAATGGGGACTTGTCGCAAGCGATTCTCACAGGTCTGCGGTGGTCCATCCTGCTTATGTGCTCATTCCATTCCTTCTTCCTGTTTGCTACCCATTCACTGATGTTCTTGACATTACAGGCTGTTCTRATATCCKCGCTTCTCTCTCTATCCAGCAGTGTCTTTCCGGTGATTCTACGGAGTATTTTCATCTCAGCTGTCTCTAGGAGTCTTTTGGCATTCGCTGTTTTTGGCCTGGTTCCTGCGGTATATATTATCACTGGCCTCGCGACGTTTTGTAGATCCTCGCTTTAGTGCCCGTTCCCATACTCTTATTGCACCATATGGCATTCAGACAGCCAGCTATTCTAATTGCTTTTGTTGCTTGATCTCTCACGTCTGCCTCAATATCCCCAAAGCCGGAATATTCCACGCCAAAGTAGTTAAATTTCATTTTCTGATCGATTACTCTACCGTCAAGTTCCAGTTTGTATCTTAGAGGGGTTTTTGATGTTGTTAAGCACTTTGTTTTGGTCGGTGATATTTCCATATTTAGAGACTTGGCTGTCAGGTTGAATAAGTGTAATAATCTTTGTAAGTCATCTTCAATTTCTGCAATGAGAGCGACATCGTCAGCATAACACACTATTTTAATGTCTGTATCCCCCATTTTGTATCCCTTTAGCCCTTGAACACTTCGAACAATTTTTTGCATTATTAAATTGAAAATGGTAGGACTCAGGGTGTCTCCCTGACGAATACCGCTACCCGCTGGTATTGGTTGTGTGAGGTCTCCTTCTATTTGTGCTCGTATTTTATTGTTTGTATATATGTTCTCTATGGTTTTAATGAGTTTGTGTGGGATTTGCCTGCTGTGAAGGAGATGAATGTGAGAGAGACGTCTTTCAGCTGGACACGGTCAAATTCTCTAGTYAGATCAACAAAATATATAAAYGGTGGCTTGTTGTATTCAATCGAWTACCCGACTATTTGTGTTATAATGAACACGGCGCGCCGTCTGTGCAAAATCTTCCCGATCTGAATCCCTGTTGTTCGTCCGCCAACGATGTAASATTGTTGATTTTGTTCGTAATTACTTTAGTTGTTAGTTTTAGAGCAGTKTTTAAAAGGTTTATTCCTCTWTAATTTGATGGTATCCTCCTGTCTCCTTTTTTTGAACATTAGCACAGTAGTGCTGGTTCGCCATTCATCTGGGATTTTGTGTTGATATATAATTTTCTGTATTAAAGTTGTTAATTCTTCTGTTAGTCCTTGCCCACAGTATTTGAGCAATTCATTTTGTATACCGTCTTGCCCGGCGCTTTTTCTATTTCTTAGTTAACTCTGTAGTGCGTTATCTACGTCGGACGACCAAGACACAACACAACGCTGCAGACTACTAGGATCGCAACGGATGCCTATGCAGCATTTAATAAACTTCAAAGTACGGTAATGCTGCTTCTCGATATGGAAAGGGCCTTTGACACAGTTTGGCACACAGGCCTGCTGTACAAGTTGTTTGCCGTRCATTCACTGCCACTCGACCTAGTTTTCCTAATAGCGTCTTACCTAAAAAACCGTACCATTCAGGTGAAAGTGGAGAATTCCACTTCTGCCAAAAGMTGCATCGCGGCAGGAGTACCACAARGTACAGTGATTTCGCCKTTRCTGTATACATTGTATACAGCAGRCATTCYAAAACTTYCCACTACAAAAATAKCACAATACGCTGATGATACGGCTATTTACGCTTCGTCTTTTTATGCTCAGGCTCCGAAATCCCGCATTGCACATCACCTGAGTTTATTGACGGTGTATTTCGACAAATGGAAACTTAAAGTGAATCCCAGGAAGACTGAACTTATTATCGTCTCGCGCAAATTCACTAACAATAAAATCCTATCGCCACTCATGGTCCAAAATATTCCAATCAAGCCAGTAAAAGAGGTGAAATACCTGAGATTCAAGCTAGACGCCCGACTCCATTTCAACAAGCATGTTGACCATGCTAT